TGCAAAGGATTAACAACCTCTGCCAGGCTCCTCAAGCCCTTCTACTAGGAGCTGGTAGATGCTGCTATTAGAAAACAGGCTGTGAAAACAGACACAGCCCAATGGCCAGGAGCCTCCTGGCCCCCCTCCATACCTTCACTCTCCAATAGTAAGGCCACACAACTTTACTGCACATGTAGTTAGCAGGTTTTGGTCTTTATGTCATTTTTATAACCTTTTCCCTGACCAAAAGACTCTTTTGAATACATACATTTGCTGCCTATTGGCTTCTGTTGCTTTGTTTGGGAACAAAAGATACTCATCCTTTCCCATTTTTAAAAGCAGAAGGGACATCTGGCGGAGTATCTGCCCCCAGGGCTTCCTCCTTCCACTTGAGAACCGCATAGGCACAGCTCGAGGTAGCCTGAATTTGCTGACATCCACTCAGGCTGTAATTCCCCTTCATCTGGGCCGTCACGAGGCGCAGGACGGAGATACCAGAAAGTGAAGTTTCTGGCCAGCACAGATGCCCAACACAAGAGGCAACGTGACCGGCACCAACGGCAGCTCGGCACAGCGGGCAGAGCGCGCTCATCCTGCGCTGGCCACGTCCTTCTTGCATTCCTATCCCTTCGTATTTCTGAATATCAAATATATCAAAAATGCCTACAGCCTTAAATGTCTGCCCCTAGTAGAGAAGAAGTTCAGATCTAAAATCTCAAGGAAATGAATCAGAGAGTCCTAACGTGCTTTGCATGCTCGTAGAATCTAAAAAAGAAGGGGGAAAGAGACRCAGTTTTACTGATACAGCTTCAGAAGACTAAGTGCAACGGCTGCGAGTCTCAGACCGGTGCGAAGTGTGTCGCAAATCGCATAGCCAGGGAGCAGCATGAAGCACTACCAGGAGAGGGGAAATCCAAATGTGCCAATAAAATAACGCCAAATAAAACATAGGATGAACGCATGATGGTGCATGTGATTTTTTTAGTAGACTTAAGGGAGTTAACGTGTATTGCTCTACTGACACATGCCAGAGCTATGATATTACTCCTCGCCTACCCACCTAACACTGCTCCAGCAACTTACTTCTCCTGTCAGGCTCCCAGTACAGCCAAGAAACCCTTGCATGAAYGCTCCCCAGCCACTGTGGCAGGAGGTCAACCACAGCAGCTCAAGCAGACTGACCTATTTTTCGCTTGTTTAGACCATTCCAGATGAGTTTGTACTGAAGCAGATAAGGAACACTCACATATTTTTGTCTGAGCTATGGAAAGAGCCCACTCCAGCTGGCAGGCAACATCTTGATCTGCTACAGCAAAATCCAGCAGCAACAACCAGTCTACATGCCCACAGTAACAAGGTTTAAAAACACCGCAAATAAAATATCTCTGAAAAGAACAAGATCATCATTACAAGATAGATTTTAATACCATTTAATAATCATTAAAATTATCCAAGTTGCATTGATTTGCTCCAAGTCAGAACTTAGCAGGGAACATACGAAATGACGATGGAGACTGCACAGCTGCTCTGGGTGCCTACTCCACTGATTCACTGTCCTCCTTGTGGACCAGTTTTTCCCTATATCCAGTTTGAATCCATCTCCACCCAGTTCATGACCCTTGTCCCACACCCTCCCATCAGGTAACCCCACAAGGACCTCTCCTCATTGACCCTCCTCAGTCCTGGTGACTGCTGTGCTGCCCCGAGGCTGCCGTTGCTCCAGGCTCCCCAAGCCTCGCTCCTTCAGCCTCTCCTCTGTGCTCTTCCAGCCCCAACTATCACACTACTCTGCTGCTCAACTCACTCATCAGAATCTCTCCTGCTTGAGGAAAGATGCCCGAACCTGCACACAATGTTCTAGATGTGCTCTGGTGAGCAGGCGTTGAGGGGGACTGTTGCCCACCTTAATCCTCTGGCTGTGCTCCTGCCCATCCAACCCAAGATGCTGTTGGTCATCCTTGGTGCCAGGACATAACACCGGATCAGGTCCGGTTTGCTCTCCACCAAGCTGCCCGGATACTTTTAAAGCTCTCTCTTTTATAAAAAGCACAGCATAACCATTTTTTTCTTCCTTACAGATTTCTATAATTACTTATTAGCATATTRACTGCGAGAGACTTCACCACATCATTCCACAGGTAGCAATGCCAGGGTAAACCACAAGCCTGGGAGTTACAGCCTGACAGAGAAAAGCCAATTATCCAGCAGAGTGCAAAATCTAATATTTGAATCTAATATTTTAATTTAAAATTTCTCTAAGGAAAAGCTCTTCCCATGAATTTACAATCAGACATCCTTTCTTTTATTTTATTATGTACAGAAATAAAAGCTTCCTTCTGAACAGGAACCTTTCTCCTTTAGAGAAAATCTTCCAGTATGTAGAGAATTTCCATAYACTGCAAAAATTTAGGAGGTATTCTGACAGCTCATATTTCCATTTCATTTTCTTTAATTTCTTGCCTAAAACCACATTATGCTGTTATGATTAAAAAATAAAAGTGATCTCCTTTGAAAGCTTTGCTAAAACTTTCTATTTAATTTTGGCAGCAAACTTAATCAATCYATTTCCCTTTCTGCTTCTTACACATCCACACATCACCAATACAGCTGGACTTCTGCTGACAGTCAAGAAAAAAAAGAGTTTCTGTTTTTACACTGGTTTTAACAGAATTAAAGCTCYCCTTTTAACCCCAGCACTTCAGATGAAGTCTACTGAGGATCATAAGAAACTCTGAAGACTTGGGATAAGGCCGTTCCCTCATGTACCTGCCCTTGAGCAGCTCGTGTGCTCCTCAGGCCACGCACCACTTCGCAGAGCTAAAGCAAAGCAGCTCCAAGCTGCAAGGTAAGGACCAGCTTTTGGCCAAAGGCTGTTTGCACAGTTTAGTTCCCTTCTGTAACTACGCCGTGCTCGCTAATTGCCCAGGCTAGGATGTTTAAACAAGGGCTGGTCTCCCACACACTGTCTCTTGTTCATGGCTAATCCTGCAGCGAGGTCAAATAACGCTCGCTGTGAGTCACCACAAGCATTTCCAAGGCAACTGGCTGAATATACAGTGTAAACACATGATTACAGATGCACTGTTCAGGAAGGAGGAGGAGGAGGAAGAGCTAGGCTGAAAGAAGTCATGCTCTTATTAAAAGGAGAATAGCTAGTGCTGAACTAACACCGGACAAACATCTGTCTCATCAAACAGCAGGACAGAATGATTGTTTTCTTCCACTTGCTTCATCCTACAGCCGCCTTTAACATTAWTTTTTTTTCGCTTCTCTCAGAGATAGTATCTCTAAAATGAAATAAGAAAACAGAAGATGGTATGATGCAAACAGTTGTTTTAATATATATATATATATATGTAAGATAGGTGTAGTCTCTGCCCTCATATGGCAGTTCTGGAGAGTGCCTGCTGACTGTCAGAAACAGGGCACTTGCGTGAGGTCCAGTTACATTTGTCCTTGATATAAGCTGCATTTTGGGATGGGAATTATCTCTCCATAGCATCTCACTCCACCTAGTCATGGATCAAAAGAAAACACCCATTAAAAACAAAAGAAAACTAGAGAGTAATTATCTACCTTCCCTTTGAAAGGGAAGTGAAGTCAGACTCCAGTTACTGCTACCAATATTGCCAAGAGGAGACAGAGGGAACCCTCCCTGTGACTCAGCTCTGCTCGGGACCCATGGGGCAGGTCAAGCCAGGCTCCCTGCCCACGGCTGCAGGTCCAGGTTTTGCAGCTCATGTCTCTACCCGAGCAGTGCCCACTGCTTGAAGGAGGATGCTGGGCGAAGCAATGGTTGGAAAGCGTTGCTTGCACGGAAATCCCACGAAGGATGCCGGTTCCTTTGCAGACTGAGAGCGAACAGAGAAGCTTTTCAGTTCCTTTCTTGGCAGCTCAGTCATTCCTGTCCCACGGGGAGGTGAGGTCATGGCAGCCGATGCTGTCAGAGCTGCCGCGTGGCCCGCGCGCACGACACAAAAGCAGGCTAAGAGCTACCAGCTCGCCCGCTCTTCTGCGGGAGGATAATCACCAACTGCACTGACTGCGCTGGGTTCCAGGAATCAGAAGCTGTAAAAAGGCTTCTCTTCCCAAGCAATTTCAACAGCCCCACCAGCATAAAGAGAGACGGAAGTGAGCAAGTAAGACGGCCAACTTCTGGGCACTAATCACTGGGAGGAAGCACTATATTTCAACAGCAAGTTCTTCACACCAAACTGTATTTAACATACATCTCTCATAAAACAATAGCTACCAGAGATAGATTWAAAAAAATACTTAATTGCATGAGCTCTACTGTATATATGAAAACATCGGACATTTTTCTCACACTAACATCAATGTCAGAATGAAAGGTTAACAGTGAGGAACTGTTAGCAGCCTGGAACATTCTCATTCCCACAGTCCTGAAGTCACCAAAGGAAAATGCCAGGCAGATTTTTCTTGTTTTGTTAACTGCACAAAGCCATAAAAAGAGTGGTGGGTGAAAAGCCGCCCCATCTGAACGCTCTGTGCTGGGGGGAAGGCACCAAGTACCGCACGTCGTTTCTTCTGCAAGAGTTTCAGAGACGCTATTACTGCTCTGAGCTGCATGGCAGGGCATGGGGCAAAAGGGCTGTGTTTCAACAGCAACGGTGACAAAACCGTGCTCTAGTTAAATAGCTTCCCCGTGCCGCTAGAAATTCCAGGTTGGATATGACTTGAACAGCAGCATCTTGAACCTTGCAAACGTGGCTGCTGTTTTCTGGCTGGTATTTAGAAGYTGTTTTACTATATGCAAACATAATGTCATATTTTCTGTCATAAAATTCTCCATGTTAAATATTTGTTATTTCACAGTCACATAAAACTGGCAAAATCAGATCTGAAAGGCAACAGCAGTCGTCCAAACCATGCATTATTTTTTCAGTAGATGTATAAATGATGAAAAACGACCAAGACAACACTGCATTTAAGCCTACTTGAATTAACCAAATCTCATACRGTAGTGCATTGTTTGGCAAAGAAAGGTAAGTGCTTACCAGGAGCAATTGTCTCCAAACTGCCCGGATTAATCTTTCTAGTGCTGGTGCAGTGCTGAATGGTTGAGCCAGTAAATATCAAGTAAAATACTACATCATCCTCCACTTTATCTTCCTCAGTCAGCTGCACTGTAATTACACAGTCACCCTAGGAGAAAGGACAAAAACAAAAAGTTAGGGCACATTTGCAAGACCTGCATCGTGGAAAATAAAACCTCTCTGACTCCAAGGTTCCTGCTTCTTGTTCACACACCCCTTTCGCATGGTTTGGGGCTCATTCTGACTTTCAGAAGTGCAAATCCTCATCAGGACTTTCTCAGGCGCACTATATATGAAGCACTATAGCCAGCACACCATCCAGGAAGCATGGTGAGCAGAGCTCTGGAAAGAGATATCCAAAAGTCTCAAGGACAACCTCAAAATAACACGAACTTAACATAGTCAAAGCATATTAGCACCTAGCATTTCCCTATAAACATGAATGTATACCCACACATAGTTATATACATACACACATCTACATATTCCCCACATATAGGTAGCTTATATAATGAAGCAGGAATAAGCATCCTATAATTGCTTCTGTCTTCAGACATTTGAATAAGCCAGTTCCTTATTTACTTCTTGTTTGAACATCCACCTTGGCCAAGGTAGCCACTAAACTCACAGTTTCAGTGGACCTAATGCAATTACTGAACACATTTTGTCATCCATCTGCAAATCCACTAAGCTAAAAAAGGTTCATTTCTGTTGAGACTTTCTTCTGCTTCCTCTTCAGAGAAAAGGATGTGGACACCTAGGACGCAGCAGACTGCAACAGCCAGGCTTTGTACAACAGTGACTCCAAAAGTCACCCAGGGCAGTSCTACTATAAACACATACAGTTTAGACCTGAATATGCAATGAACAGACTACCTGCTATTAGAATCAAAAATTAGCTTTGGTTTCAGCAAGCTCTGTGCTCGCATGCACGTGCAGAAAGCACGTTCCGTGTTATCCCACGTAGCACAACGCTTCCCAAACCATCACAGACACGTTCACATCCTCACTGCATGGAGCACACGCAGTGCTAAGTAGGAATGTTCAGCCAAAAGGAGATAAAYGGTCAATTTTTCTTCTTACAGATCATAACCAAGAGCTTTTAAAACCTTGCCTGTGTAAGAACAAAAATCTGATGCTGACATGATATAGTAAATACATGGGCAACCCGTAAAGCTGCCTGTACGGCAGCAGCATCCCTCAACTCAGAATGGRGAATATTCCATGGGGAAGGGAATAMGAGGCAGATGCTTTGCAGTGACAGCTGCACTAAAGGAAGGATGTTCATTTGCTCTCCCTACCCACCAGCTATGTGCCTGAAGAAGAATTATATAAACCACAAGACACTGAGAACAACAGACTATGTTGTGATGTTGTGACCTTCTGCTCCTTTTCTATCAAGATCAAAACCAGTTGGATGTCCCAGTTTTATGCTGCAGCTGCGTTAGTCCACCCCCTGCCACCACAGAGCATATGGTTAATGCTGAAAATCTGGAAAACATTTTTTTTAGTGAATTATGTAATTCTAATTTGCAAATCCAATAAAATAAGCATGTCATTTCATTTAAAACCTGTTCCTTAAGATCATTCAGTTTATTCCCTTTGTCAAATGTAATTATTGAAGAAGAAAAATCTCAAGAGGTCCAGGTCCTGCCAGCACCATTCCCCCTGCTCCCTGTCAGGGCTCCTCCTGTTCTCCGATGACTSCTTCACTTCAGCACTGCTGCTTGCTCCGAGTTCTTGCCTTGTTCTCCTGCTCCTCGATTTGCTCCATCCACCCACTCCCAACCTTGGCACAGCCCAGCACAMAAGGGGTGACCTCCTACCAGACCTGAGGAGGCTGGAGCTCAGCCACCCTACGTACCTCCCACCCACCACTTTTTGGTGACTCCTTTGYGGTGCCCTTGGCTTTAGTGAAGTCCTCCAGGGCTCTAGGACCTCAATTCATCCTCGCACGGGAAACAAATGCTCCTTTAGCACGTGCAATCCTGTCCAAAAATCCAGAAGGGAACAGAGCAGAGCACGTGCCAGCCACGACTTCTACATGAGAAATTTTATCTGCTCTGTCTGGTACCACTTGCCAAGGACAGAGTCGCACGCAGTATGGTTTTTGATAGAAACAAGGGGTTTTTTTTTCAGCATGGTACACAGCCAGCCTCCAGCCTTAAAAAAAAAAATGGGTCAATCATACCACATAAAAAGAAAGTCGTGAATCAAAAAGAGAAAAAGGGACCAGAGAAGCTATTTTACATTTCCACCGGCTGCACAGATASAAACATAAATTCAGGAAAGTTATCACATGATAATATTTGACCAGACTTCCAGCTGTGGACAAAGGAGCCGTGTAGCAAAAGTATATGTTGTGTACAGTCCGTGCTAAAATAAAAACAGGTGCAAAGAAAGTTAAGCTTTAAATTCAAGTATGACCAGTTCGCATGCTGAGCTGAAAGCTAAATATCACATTCCAGGCAAATGGATCCAGTTTTGAGTGGATGTTCAAAAACAAAGYTCAGTTTTAACATAAAAAAAAAAAAGGCACAATGATTTCTGTTTTTGTTCGAACTGTTCCTCCCTGAAGGCATCAACCTACAAAATACTTAAATCTACTTAAAATGTGGACAACATCTAGGGCCAGTCCACAACAGTACTGACTGCTTAAAACAATATTTGCTAAATGATTTCTTTTTCTTTTTCTTTTTTTTTTAAACTCAGAATTTAAGCACAGCTAGCCCAATTCTCATGACACTAAGTCTGCAGCATACATTTGAAAAGACACTTGTCCATACATGTGGCAAGTCCTGGAAAACCAATTTATTTTTCAGCACTTCTGCAAAAGATAATATATATTTTTAATCATTAATCACAAAAAAAAAAAGAATAAAAATACAGTGCACTGCCTGTATAAACACATGCAAGCACCCTMTACAGGGGAGGTTCCACATAACTTGAGTTTTGTCTAAACTAGGACTTAAAAGGAGGRGGTTGAACTTCCACCATGACCACAGGACTCTGAGCAACGTGCCTAATTTCGGGGGTGGTCCTGTTTTGGGGGGTTGGACTAGGTGGCTTCTAGCAGTCACCTCCAACCAAAACTATTCTGCTGGTATTTTATAGCTTAGCTCTAGTTAACTGCATGTTTAAGTCTAGCAGAAACACAAATTATCACCAAGTAACCAAAAGGCTCTTCAGCTTTATCTCCAGAGCTCCTCATGGAGACACATCTCGCCACCACTCAGGGGAACAAAGACTTTCCACGACAGTTCAGCATATATAGATAGATATAAAATTAATATTTGAAGCTGTCTTCATACATCATTAGCAAGACAAATGAGGTACTATGGCTAGGCTATAGTAAGTACTATATCTTCTGAGCTAGCTCTTATCTCTACCACGCGCAGCATAACTCACTGTATAAAGTGATCTGAGATGCCAGAATAAGAAGAAAAATGACAAAGCACCAAATAAGAAAAGTCCTTCAGTGCATGGTTTTACTCCCCAGGCTTTGACAATTCTGCTGGTCACYGCCAACTTTAAAAGCAGAGAATGCTGCACTGAAACTGTGCATCTATTTGAAAAGGAAATAATGTACAGAAGAAACCTCTCTCAAACATTTCTGGASTTAAAGAAAATAAGTTACAAACACAGTTAAATTCCTTCCACCCACATAGAAGTGTTTCCAACAACACTATTGCAACTCGGTCTCCAAAAACATTTTAATTGAAGTATGTTTACCTTTATTCCTTTAATATTACCCAAATATGTCATCTGTTCAGTATCACTGCCACACAAGGTGGTTATTATAACCTCTCTTTCATCCTGATGGTTAGAAATGGAAGGCTAGTCTGCCAATATCCCCTTGGTGAAAGTACAGATAGATCAAAGCAATTCTCTGAAATGCTCCAACAAATAAGAATAATTTAATTTCAAAACTAGYTTGGATTGACTAATATTTGCTTGGCTTGGAGCCCATTGGAAATGAAAACATTCCATTTTTGTCCATTCATGAAAAAGGTCACCTTCACTTTCTTCTAAAAATCCATGAAAAGGCATTTCAGACAGCTGTAAAATGATGTAAAGAATGTAGATACCGGTCCTTACTGTAAATTCCTTCCCTTTCTCAAATCGGATGGAGAAAACCTACGACCTGCCTCATTAAGTGACTAATACACTGGAAAAGGCAGCCCTAATCTGAGACTTTAAACTACCATACAGCAATTCAGAAAATGTTTTTAGAGTGGCACAGCTCTGAACAGTTGGCTCAGTTGAGGCAGCCTAAATACAGTTATTGCTTCCAAGAAAAGTTTTTAGGGAGAATAAACAACCCACCAGCCATTAGTTCAGCAGAACGGGGATATTACAGCATTTGAGGCATTTGCTTTTCAACTGCTCCGCTTACAAAGATACAGAAACAACAAACTTTTTGTAGACAAAGCTTTGAGTAACCACCTCTTCTTTTCTGAGACTTGGTATTTGTGTCCATAAAGGTGCAAGATTTGCCTTCAAAGGATGCTTACAGCTGACTTTACCACTACTTCCAAATAACAGCGAAGCTAACAGAATCTTTAAGCACAAAAGGATCAAGATTAGTTTTATTATTCATTACTTCAGAGCAGCGTTCACTTTYTAAAATGTAGTAATTGTTTTAAGCATGTAAAGACATTTTTCCTTCCTGCTTCAGGCTCTGCAAATCTGCTTTATGAGAAATCAGTCATGCTGGATCCTGCAAAATGGGATCACAAGGACGGCCCTTGCAAACCCACACACTCAAGACCTCAGCTGAGAAATGTTTCTCTGGGGAGGTTAAGGTTTCCCTGGGGAATAGCAGCTCTACAAGCTATCGGCATGTTTACCTAAGATAGACTAGGCAGGGAACATACCCTTAATCTGCTGGTAATGAATTTCCAAGTTTCTACAAAAAAGGCAAGCTGTATTTTTATACATGAAGCACGTGATTTCTAAAATGTTTTTTCTCATGGTTCCTATTGGGAGTTTTGAAGCATGTTATCTGACCCACTAACCACCCACTCTGACCTCCCCACACACACAAAGGCTAAAAATACTTATGGCAACGAAGCATGTGAGCATGTGTTGCAAAGCGATGCTGAAGCG